TAAATTTTATCTAGAAAATGTTATCCGTATAAATTTTTTCTATAGAAAATGTTATCCGGATAAATTTTTTTATCCGAATAACATTTTTCCATAGAAAATGTTATCCGGATAAATTTTTTCTATGGAAAATGTTATCCGAATAACATTTTTCTATAGAAAATATTATCCGAATAACATTTTTCTATAGAAAATATTATCCGAATAACATTTTTCTATAGAAAATATTATCCGAATAACATTTTTCTATAGAAAATATTATCCGAATAACATTTTTCTATAGAAAATATTATCCGAATAACATTTTTCTATAGAAAATATTATCCGAATAACATTTTTCTATAGAAAATATTATCCGAATAACATTTTTCTATAGAAAATATTATCCGAATAACATTTTTCTATAGAAAATATTATCCGGATAACATTTTTCTATAGAAAATATTATCCGGATAACATTTTTCTATAGAAAATATTATCCGGATAACATTTTTCTATAGAAAATATTATCGGATAACATTTTTCTATAGAAAATATTATCCGGATAACATTTTTCTATAGAAAATATTATCCGGATAACATTTTTCTATAGAAAATATTATCCGGATAACATTTTTCTATAGAAAATATTATCCGGATAATATTTTTCTATAGAAAATATTATCCGGATAACATTTTTCAATAGAAAATATTATCCTATCCTATCTCTATAGAAAATATTATCCGGATCTTATTTTTCTATAGAAAAAATTATCCGAATAAATTTTTTTTCTATAGCAAAAATTTATCAGAATATTTTTTTTTCTATAGCAAAAATTTATACGAATAATTTTTTTTCTATAGCAAAAATTGTATCCGAATAAATTTTTTTCTATATAGAAAAATTGTATCCGAATAAATTTTTTTCTATATAGAAAAATTGTATCCGAATAATTTTTTTTCTATATAGAAAAATTGTATCCGAATAAATTTTTTTCTATATAGAAAAATTGTATCCGAATAAATTTTTTTCTATATAGAAAAATTGTATCCGAATAAATTTTTTTCTATATAGAAAAATGTTATCCGAATAAATTTTTTTTCTCTTGAAAATTTTATCCGAATAAATTTTTTCCATGGATTTCCTATAGAAAAATTTATGCGAATAAATTTTTTTTTCTATAGAAAAATGTTATCCGAATAATTGTTTTTTTCTATAGGAAAATATTATCTGAATAAATTTTTTTTCCATGGAAAAATTTATCCGAATAAATTTTTTTCTATAGAAAAATTTATCCTCATATTTTTTCTTGTGGAAAAAAATAAATTATTCCCTCCCATCCTTTATTCCCCCTCCCATTACTCTCATGTCCTTTTGCTCAGCAGTAAATATTTACTTTTAGCCAAGCGGACAAGGACTCCATGAGAGGACGTGTGTGTGTGTGTGTTTGTGCTTTAAGCATTGCATTAACAATTATTTTTATGACGTTAATGAGCTGTGTTCTCTGGCTCTCCTCCCCCCTCCTTCCCCCTTCTGTTTGTGTGTTTCTTCTTCCACAACTTTCACCACTTGTGTACAAGCGGTTAATGGTTTTGCGTCAAGTGTATAACTTGTCGTATATATGTATGTGCGTGGTTGCTTTCTTTATATTAGTTGGGCAAACGGTTTTAAGCGTGTTCAGCACAAAAAAAAAACGTTAATTATAAGTTATGAGGCAAAGAAGAGAGAGAGAGAGAGAGAGAGCATGCACACAAGTATATAAATATATTCGGAAAGAGGAAAAAAATAAACAGAAAGAAGAACATCAAATTGACAAACATACTTAAATGTGTGTTTGGAGAGGAGGATGGCGAAAAAAGCAACTAAGCATATGTAATTAATGTTTGTGTGTATATGTGTGTGTGCGAGTTGGAAACTTAAGTGTGTGTGTGTATGTGTTGTAGAAGTGTATGAAGTCCTACAATTAACATTTGTAATCACAGCCAGGCGGAGAAGTACTTCTTCTCTTCCAGGGGTTAGGCATAATTTTAATTTTAATGTGAGGTTAAAAATTTCCTATTAACCCATGTGGCACCCATGGTCCCCTAATACACTCCCAACCCTGAGATTCTTAAAAAAATAAAAATAATATTTTTTTCTGCCATTTAAAAATATTCAACCACTCTTTACGAGGATGCCTCAAAAATCTCCTTTCCCCGACTCCTTAACATATGCTATAATTTTTTTCTCCTTTGTTTCATAACTTGCCAAATTAAATATGTTCTCGCCCCCCACCCCTAAATTATATTATTATCATGTCATATTATCATTATTATGCTAATAAAGTCTTATAATCTCCAGGTATGTAAATGTCATTTATGGTTTTCTTGTTTTTGGCCAAGAACATAAGCCCTAAAATATGCATCACTTTTATGCCATTGGGGATTTAGGTTGAAACATCCAAAAATCCTAAAAATGATAATTGTTTCTGGTTAACTGGGCTCTAATTGAATTTTTTATATGACCCACTCAAGTGAAGTGAAATGTGTTTTAATTTTCGAAACCTAATGGCAGAGAACAAAAACAACAACACCTGCAAAAAAAATTAATGAAGTGTTTTTGGGTCGGCAACAAGGCATTAAGAAATTTAGATGCATACTTTTGGGAGTGGGCGGAGGGAGAAATAACAAAAAATATTATCCGGATAACATTTTTTCTATACGAAAATCTTATCCAGATAACATTTTTTTCTATATACGAAAATATTATCCGGATTACAATTTTTTTTATACGAAAATACTATCCGGATAACATTTTCTATTCAAAAACATTATCCGGACAAGATTTTCTATAGAAAATTTTTATCCGGATATGATTTTCTATAGAAAATTTTTATCCGGATACGATTTTCTATAAAAAATTTTTATCCGGATAAGATTTTCTATAGAAAATTTTTATCCGGTTAAGATTTTCTATAGAAAATTTTTATCCGGATAAGATTTTCTATAGAAAATTTTTATCCGGATAAGATTTTCTATAGAAAATTTTTATCCGGATATGATTTTCTATAGAAAATTTTTATCCGGATAAGATTTTCTATAGAAAATTATTATCCGGATATGATTTTCTATAGAAAATTTTTATCCGGATAAGATTTTCTATAGAAAATTATTATCCGGATATGATTTTCTTTAGAAAATTTTTATCCGGATATGATTTTCTATAGAAAAAATGTTATCCGGATAATATTTTCCGTATAGAAAAAATGTTATCCGGATAATATTTTTCGTATATAGAAAAAATGTTATCCGGATAATATTTTCCGTATAGAAAAAATGTTATCCGGATAAACTTTTTTCTATAGAAAACATTATCTGGATAATTTTTTTTCTATAGAAAATATTATCCGGATAAATTTTTTTCTATAGAAAATATTATCCGGATAAATTTTTTTCTATAGAAAATATTATCCGGATAAATTTTTTTCTATAGAAAATATTATCCGGATAAATTTTTTTCTATAGAAAATATTATCCGGATAATTTTTTTTCTATAGAAAATATTATCCGGATAAATTTTTTTCTATAGAAAATATTATCCGGATAATGTTTTCGTATAGAAAATATGTTATCCGGATAATATTTTTCGTATATAGAAAATATGTTATCCGGATAATATTTTCGTATATAGAAAAAATGTTATCCGGATAATATTTTTCGTATATAGAAAAAATGTTATCCGGATAATATTTTTCGTATATAGAAAAAATGTTATCCGGATAATATTTTCCGTATATAGAAAAAATGTTATCCGGATAATATTTTCCGTATAGAGAAAAAATGTTATCCGGATAATATTTTCCATATATAGAAAAATGTTATCCGGATAATATTTTCCGTATATAGAAAAAATGTTATCCGGATAATATTTTCCGTATATAGAAAAAATGTTATCGGGATAATATTTTCCGTATATAGAAAAAATGTTATCCGGATAATATTTTCCATATATAGAAAAAATGTTATCCGGATAATATTTTCCGTATAGAAAAAATGTTATCCGGATAATATTTTCCGTACAGAAAAAATGTTATCCGGATAATATTTTCGTATATAGAAAAAATGTTATCCGGATAATATTTTGCGTATATAGAAAAAATGTTATCCGGATAATATTTTCCGTATATAGAAAAAATGTTATCCGGATAATATTTTCCATATATAGAAAAAATGTTATCCGGATAATATTTTCCGTATAGAAAAAATGTTATCCGGATAATATTTTCCGTACAGAAAAAATGTTATCCGGATAATATTTTCGTATATAGAAAAAATGTTATCCGGATAATATTTTCCGTATATAGAAAAAATGTTATCCGGATAATATTTTCCGTATATAGAAAAAATGTTATCCGGATAATATTTTCCGTATATAGAAAAAAATGTTATAATATTTTTCGTATATAGAAAAAATTTTATCCGGATAATATTTTCCGTATAGAAAAAATGTTATCCGAATAATATTTTCCGTATAGAAAAAATGTTATCCGGATAAGATTTTCTATAGTTTTTCTATAGAAAATCTTATGCGGATAATTTTTTTTCTGAAAATCTTATCCGGATAACATATTGCGATAGAAAATAGAATCCGAATAAAATTTTTCTATAGAAAATATTATCCGAATAAAAATTTTCTATAGAAAATATTATCCGGATAATATTTTCCTATGGAAAACCTTATCCGGATAACATTTTCCTGTTGAAAACCTTATCCGGATAAAATTTTTCTATGAAAAACCTTATCCGGATAAAGTTTTCCATAGTATTTTCCACTTTTCTATGGAAAACCTTATTTTTCTATGGCAAATATTATCCGGATAACATTTTCCTGTAGCAAATATTATCCGGATAATATTATTTTTTGTATAGAAAATATTATCCGGATAATATTATCCATTAGAATAATTTTATTTAATTTTTTTTTTTCAAAAAAAATCCATTGTTTCAAAATTTAATTTTTCCCTCCTTTTAAATTTTCGTTTCAGAAACTGCCCTACTATTGCCGGCTGGCTTGTCTCACAGACGTCAAAGCAGGAACAGCAGCAACAATAATACCCAGCCGCATATTCACCATGACAACAACAGCAGTAGCAACAACAACAACAGCAATAACAACAACAGCAATCAACAAAAACATCAGCATCAGCATGAAGAAGAGTAAGTAGTAATCGCTTCAAATCAAACAACACAAATAACAATTTATTGCTGGTAACATAAATCCCAATAGAGAATACTCAACGAATGAATGAGAGGGAGAGAGAGAGAGCAATCGGGCGGGAGAGGGGGGAGAGTTTTAATTTTAAGCTTTTAAGGAAATTGAATTGAAAATACCCGAGTATCGAAGGCAATGTAAACAAAGAGAGCTCTCTAGCTCTTCAATGGCAATGAGCATTGAACGGAAACGGAAACAACTACACACTCAGTTACACACACACACATGAGCACACACAGATGAGCACAAACATATGAGTGCAGCCCATCAATGTGGCTTCAAAAATCAATTTCAAATCAATGTTCAGTGCAAATAAATACCTTCTCCCATCCCAGTACTACCCTACCCTACCCTACCCTACCCCACCATAGCCTGTAATGCCAAGAACTAACAACTTTGCCCGTTATTGTTTTTTTCTGTTCTGGCTGCTCTTCATCTTCTGTTTCTCATATCCGTTTCGGTATAATATCGAAATGTAAAGAGCATTATGGCTGGTTGGTCCGATTTAAACTGGGTTAATTGTGGCCATACCTCTGGGAGCATTGCTGCAACTTGAAGTGTAGAAATCCTAGTTCCACACAAAAGTCCAGAAGTAAATTTCCGGAAAAAAAAACTCAAAAAAATATTGAAAAACCATTTCCACAGATTGCAGGCATTTCCATTGATTTCCGTTGCTGTAATATTTCCGCTTACAAGCCTCATCTGTCATGCGATGAATTAGCATAAATCCTTGGAAAAGTGTTCACCTTACCGTAACACCCCTTCTTGCGTCCCAAACACAAAATCGATGAAAGTAACAAAATTTAAAAAAAGAAAAAGGGAAAACGGTTGGAAAAACTTCAGACGCAAAGGACAAAAAAAAAGTATCGATGAAAAGTTTTAAAACATCAACTGAGAAAAGTCACTGAACATCAGTGCCAAAGTTCTGCAATTGAAATTGAAAAAGAGAAACAATAAAATCGGAAACTAGAACTAACAAAGAAGGCCAAAAGGTCTTCTCTGGAAAGACCAGAAGGTCTTGTCAGAGAAGAACAACAACACCTCTGCTTGTAGGTGATCATAAAATATCAGATATTTTTCTGGCAATAGATTATGCTCACAGAGCGGCAGAAGGCTTTCTTTCTTTAAAGAGAACAAACAAGTTTTTCCTCTTCAGAGAAGAGCAAAAGGTCAGAGAAGAGCACAAGGTTTTCATTTTCTTAGAGAAGAGCAGAAGATCTTCTTCTCTTCGGACAAGACCGTACTGTCTTTTTCTTCTTCTCAGAGATGAGCATAAGGTCTTCTTCTCTTCAGACAAAAAGAGAAGGTTTTCTTATTCTCAGAGAAGAGCAGAAGTTATTTTTCTCTTCAGAGAAGAGCAGAAGTTCTTCTTCCCCTCTCTTTTGTGCTTTCCTCTCACAGAAGAAAGAAAAGGCCAGCAGGTATTCTCAGAAAAGAACTACAATACATCCGCTCGTAGGCAATCATAAAAGATCAGATTATTTTCTGCCATAGATTGTCAGAATGTCTACTGCTCATAGAGCGGCAGAGAAGAGCAGAAGGTATCCTTTTTCTCTTCAAGAAGAGCTGAAGAATCAGAGAAGAGTAGAAGGTCTTCTTCTCTTCGGAAAAGACCAGACTGTCTTTTTCATCTTCTCAGAGATGAGCAAAAGGACTTCTTCTCTTCAGAGAAGAAGAGAAAGGTTTCTTTTTCTCAGAAAAGAGCAGTAGCTCTTCTTCCCTTCAGAGAAGAGCAGAAGTTTTTCTTCTTCTCAGAGAAGAGCAGAAGGTATTCTTCCCCTCTCTTTTCTGCTCGCCTCTCACAGAAGAAAGAAAAGGCCAACAGGTATTCTCAGAGAAGAACAAAACTACCTCTGCTTGTAGGCGATCATAAAATAGCAGATATTTTTCTGGCCATAGATTATCAGAACTTCTACTGCTCATGTAGTGGCAGAAGGTTTTCTTTATCTCAGAGAAGAGCAGAAGGTATCCTTTTTCTCTTCAAGAAGAGCAGAAGATTCAGAGAAGAGCACAAGGTTTTACTTTTCTCAGAGAAGAGCAGAAGGTCTTCTTCTCTTCGGAAAAGACCAGACTTTCTTTTTCTTCTTCTCAGAGATGAGCAAAAGGTCTTCTTCTCTTCAGAGAAGAAGAGAAGGTTTTCTTATTCTCAGAGGGGAGCAGAAGCTCTTCTTCTTCTTAGGTAAGAGCAGAAGTGTTTTTTCCCTTTAGAGAAGAGCAGCAGGTATTCTTCCCCTCTCTTTTCTGCTCTCCTCTCACAGAAGGAAGAAAAGACCAGCAGTTATTCTCAGAGAAGAACTACAATACATCCGCTCGTAGGCAATCATAAAAGAGCAGATACTTTTCTGTCCATAGATTATCAGAATGTATACTGCTCATAGAGCGCCAGAAGGTTTTCTTTATCTCAGAGAAGAGCAGAAGGTATCCTTTTTCTCTTCAAGCAGATCAGAAGATTCAGAAAAGAGCACAAGGTTTTCTTTTTCTTAGAGAAGAGCAGAAGATCTTCTTCTCTTCGGAAAACACCAGACTGTCTTCTTCTTCCTCTCAGAAATCGGCAAAAGGTCTTCTTCTCTTCAGAAAAGAAAAGGTTTTCTTTTTCTCAGAGAAGAGCAGAAGGTCTTCTTCTCTTCAGAAAAGAGCAGAAGTTCTTCTTCTCTTCAGAGAAGAGCAGAAGGTATTCTTAGCCTCTCTTTTCTGCCCTCTTCTTACATAAGAAAGAAGGGGCCAGCAGGCATTCTCAGAGAAGAGTAACAATACATCCGCTCGTTGGCAATAATAAAACAGCAGATTATTTTCTGCCATAGATTATCAGAATGTATACAGAAGATTCAGAGAAGAGCATAAGGTTTTCTTTTTCTTAGAGAAGAGCAGAAGATCTTCTTCTCTTCGGACAAGACCGGACTGTCTTTTTCTTCTTCTGAGAGATGAGCAAAACTTTTGTTCGCATTTATTACCCGATTGCGATGAAATTTTCCAAACAACATTTGTTTGGCCCAGGGACGAACCCTATTGAAATTGGAGATAATCGGTAAAAATTTGGATATAGCTCCCATATATAACTTCGTCCGATTTGCCTTTTATTGTAATATCAGCCGAATAGTATGGAATTTTGCACATACAGCCAAATTAGGCCTGAAAATATGTATGCCAAATTTGATCGAAATCGGTTCAGATATAGCTATAGCTCCCTTGTATATTGTTCATCCGATTTGTTATTTTTGTCCTCTGCAGCCGTAATATGCACTCTGTAACAACAATATTTGGAGAAATATAGCAACTACAGCTCAGAAATACCTTTGCTAATTTTTATCGAGATCGGTTCGGATTTGGGATATATCTCCCATATATAACTTCGTCCGATTTACCTTTTATTGTGGACCAAACGTCTAATATTTGCCCAAATGGGATGAAATTCGGCACTTACGATCGAATTGAGTCTAGAAGCTAGTATGTCAAATTTGGTGAAGATCGGTTCAGATATAGCTATAGCTCCCTTGTATATTATTCATCCGATTTTTTATTTTTGTCCTCCGCAGTCGTAATATGCACTCGGTAACAACAATATTTGGGGAAATATATCAAATACAGCTCAGAAATACCTTTGCTAAATTTTATGGAGATCGATTCCGATTTGGATATATCTCCCATATATAACTTCGTCCGATTTACCTTTTATTGTGCACCAAACGTCTAATATTTGCCCAAATGGCATGAAAGTTGGCACTTACGATCGAATTAAGTCTAGAAGCTAGTATGTCAAATTTGATGAAGATCGGTTCAGATATAGCTATAGCTCCCTTGTATATTTTTCATCCGATTTGTTGTATTTGTTACCCACAGCCGTAATATGCACTCCGTAACAACGATATTCAGGGAAATATATGAAATACAGTTCTGAAATATATTTGCCAAATTTTATCGAGATCGGTTCGGATTTGGGATATATCTCCCATATATAACTTCGTCCGATTTACCTGTTATTGTGCACAAAACGTCTAATATTTGTCCAAATGACATGAAATTTGGCACATACGACCGAATTGAGTCTAGAAGCTAGTATGTCAAATTTGGTGAATATCGGTTCAGATATAGCTATAGCTCCCTTGTATATTGTTCATCCGATTTGTTGTTTTTGTCCTCCGCAGCCGTAATATGCAGTCGGTAACAATGATATTCAGGGAAATACAGGAAATACAGCTCAGAAATATATTTGCCAAATTTTATGGAGATCAGTTCGGATTTGGGATATATCTCCCATATATAACTTCGTCCGATTTACCTGTTATTGTGCACCAAACGTCTAATATTTGCCCAAATGCCATGAAATTTGGCACTTACGACCGAATTGAGTCTAGAAGCTAATATGTCAAATTTGATGAAGATCGGTTCAGATATAGCTATAGCTCCCTTGTATATTGTTCATCCGATTTGTTATTTTTGTCCTCCGCAGCCGTAATATGCACTCTGTAACAACAATATTTGGGGAAATTTATCAAATACAGCTCAGAAATACCTTTGCTAAATTTTAACGAGATCGGTTCGGATTTGGGATATATCTCCCATATATAACTTCGTCCGATTTACCTGTTATTGTGCACCAAACGTCTAATATTTGCCCAAATGCCATGAAATTTGGCACTTACGACCGAATTGAGTCTAGAAGCTAATATGTCAAATTTGATGAAGATCGGTTCAGATATAGCTATAGCTCCCTTGTATATTGTTCATCCGATTTGTTATTTTTGTCCTCCGCAGCCGTAATATGCACTCCGTAACAACAATATTTGGGGAAATATAGCAAATACAGCTCAGAAATGCCTTTGCAAAATTTTATTGAAATCGGTCCGGATTTAGGATATATCTCCCATATATAACTTCGTCCGATTCATAATTAATTGTGCACCAAACTTGTAATATTTGTCCAAATGGGATGAAATTTGGCACTTAC